TAGTTTAAGAAAGTTATTAAAATTTCAAAAACTTTAACCACAGAGTGAATATTTGTGGACGCCGCCACCGACGACGACGACGACGACGACGCCGACGGAATGTAGGATCGCTATGTCTCGCTTTTTCGACAAAAGTCGAAGGCTCGACAAAAATGATGGATTCATAATGACGATACAATATGGTCACAATAACACATGATCACAAACAATCCTACAAACTATGAAATCTTTGTGTCAAAAGGTTCAAGAGGAGTTGCGGTTACAAGAGGTCATCGTGTTAAGATAGTACAAAATGGTCAAAGTCCTATAACTGTCTTAAAATTATCAAATCAAAATGACGGGCAATTACATATGGTGGCAAACACTGCTACTAAGTATAAAAGCTTCTGCGTTCAAAAGGGGTCATTGTTCCAGTACTAAAAAATAGTCAAAGTAAAAAAACAAATGGTCGAATCTAAATGGTGGTATATGTCCAACTACACGTGATGGCAAATTTACAATCCTACCAAGTATAAGACCTTTCTGCAAAACAGTTTCAGAGGAGTTGCGTTTACCATGTGTTACTGTAAAAATACTAAAACAAAAATGGCGAAACTTCTGCTCCAATCAAAATGATTGTATAGAATTTTCAAGAGAATATGATAACGCTAATCCTATCAATTATGCAAGCTTTCTGTTAAACTGTCTCCGAGTATTAAAGTGTTTGGACAGACAGATGGACGCACAGACGAACAGAAACCATTACCATACTTCCCGCGGCGCAAATGCGGTGGATGAAAAAATCAATATGTATAATAGGGAGACAATTCTGACAAGTTGCTTTAAAAAAAAAAAAAAGACAACACGTGAACCTTAGAACTTTTTTATTCTAATTATTAATTCAACTGAATAAGAAATTATATATCAGTGTTATCTTGGCCATGTGTGTGGAGGATAATATTTTCTTTTTATTATAAATCATTACAATTTTGGCATGTTGAGAGAAGTGTTAAATTTAAAGCAAGGAGAGGGAAAAAATAAGCTTCCCAGACGTATAATTTCTTAAAGAATAATAATAATTCAAAACATGGAGGACACATGTACCTTCTTCCAAAAATTCATTAAATTAATCTAGAAATAAGTAATGAGGCATTGCGAACTGGTCAGCTAGCAGGACACATTAATGTTCGTTACCGACCAATCATCAATAAGTGTAACTCTCCCGCGAGAGATACTTACTTGATCTAATTATAAATATAAAAAAGAAGATGTGGTATGATTGCCAATGAGACAACTCTCCACAAGAGACCAAATGACACATAAATTAACAACTATATGTCACCGTACGGCTTTCAACAATGAGCAAAGCCCATACCGCATAGTCAGCCATAAAAGGCCCCGAAATAACAAATGTAAAACAATTCAAACGAGAAAACTAACGGCCTAATTTATGTACAAAAAATGAACGAAAAACAAATATGTAACACATCAACAAACGACAACCACTGAATACAGGCTCCTGACTTGGGACAGGCACATACATACAGAATGTGGCGGGGTTAAACATGTTAGCGGGATCCCAACCCTCCCCCTAACCTGGGACAGTGGTGTAACAGTACAACATAAGAACGAACTATAAAAATCAGTTGAAAAAGGCTTAACTCATCAGATGGATACAAACAGAAATACTACACAGAGTGGACGTGGCCGGGTACTTGTATATTCCAACAACAAATAGACACTAAGCACAGATCTGAGAGTACTCGCAGTTACTGACAGCTAGTTCAAAGCCACTAACAACTTATTAAAAAAATCATGCATCTAAGACTAAATTATCAATTAGTTCACATCCAACATCCAATTATTGAAGAGGCATAACTTTTACATTCAAGATACAAAAAATTTCATTAATAAAATAGAGTCACACGAGGTAAAAAAAGTATGCATTCTTATTGCCTATGATGTACGTCAATGTAGACAAATATGATCATTGACAATTTAGAAGAAATTGTTATCAATGCATTAGAATTTATTGACACACAAGAGAATATACTTTAAAGATTCTCAACAAAATAGATTTAAATGCATTTGTTAAATTAATTCTTAGAAACAATGAATTTAAGTTTAATGGACTGTTATACAAACACATTATAGGAGCGTACCAACCAGGCTTATTAATTTGTACTCATTAAAATCTTAGATCAGTTCCAATGGAGAGAAAACATCAAATTACACTATCAATAGGGATGACGGTTTTATGATCTTCACAGACAAATTAGAGCAAGTTGAAGATTTCTTTAACCTTGCAAACGAAATTTACCATCTACTTAAGTTCTAATATGAGGTGTCGACATCTAGTATGGCCTATTTAGAGGGTGGTAAAGGGTTATTTTCGTGCAGCGTTTTCGGCCTTTTTATTTCACGTGTTTCCGTGTTTCGACGTTTTATTTCTCGTTTTCTCGTGTTTGGTTCGATGTGCGTGCTTCGTGTTTTCCCTTAATCATTTTCCGTGTTTCGTGTCGGTACTCTTATTTTCTCGTGCTTGTCCCGCATTTGCCTGATTAAAAAGTAAACCGGGACTAATTCAAAGTCAGCCCAAATATTGTTTTAAATTATAAACTATTACTATTAACTGGTCCAAAGATATTTATTAATAGCCTATTATATTACTATGATAAATCGGATGCAACTAACGGACGCTAAAAGGTGACCACATGCAGGGTCGCCATGTCCATTTATAATGACTGCATGATCTCCAAGAACGGCTGAGTAATAACTGTTGGTACTTTTTTCCTTAATATTTACGATTTTATTCCTTGCATGGCTTCGTTTTTCCAGAGTGTTTTTTTTTCTCCGTGCAACATTTTTGCGATTTGTTATTTCACTTGTTTCTGTGTTCAGACCCTCCCTTTTACCACCCTCTATTTAGATACCGAAGTGTACAAAAGTGAACGATTCCATAATAATGGAATTCTTGATGTTAAGTCACATATATTAAAAACACAGAAACGTATCAATATTTACCAATCACTAGTGCACATCCAAAATACACATAAATTTAAGAACATTACAATGTGCGAATAATATAAGAAATTTCTACTTCTACCACTATGTGACCACCGTCATTTGGTTGACTATCCTGTCACTGTTTGGTGTGCGCTTGCATGCATACTTAACAAGTCCAAAAATGATTTTAACAGAAAGGAAACAATTTGTGCTGTACATAACATTTATACATGGTGCAAATAAAAACATGGGACTTGAAATTTAATGTGCATGCAGTAGTCTCTTGAACGAGTCAAGACTTTCTGCAGCGGTCACTGAAATAATAGTGACATCAATGAATTAAATAAACATTTAATTAACTTACAAGATAACTTAATTGATAGAGAATACTGTAAAAAGGAAACAGTAAAAGTTGTAAAAATGTATATTAACGAGCAGTCTTTATTTTACTTGTTTTATTTTCATTTGAAACAGATTTTTTTTTATCTGATTTGTCAAAATGACAAGTGTGCATAATGATTTCATTGTTACAAATCAAATCCCAAAAGCCCACTATAGCTATAACAACTCATTATGTAGAAACCACAGCACTATTTTAAAATATCTATCTGTGAATATCTAGACACAGATGTTTGATACCATAGGTCGTTATAATTAAATCTTGACCATTTAACTTTCACTTGTTTATCAAAGGGTACAACTGTCAACTTTGCCCAAGTCAGTAAACCCTTGCAATGCATAAAATGTAGCTTTACAATAAATATACATGTTTGAAAAGGATCTATAGATTGTTTATTATCATATATCAGATAAGTGAATTAGCGATCTGTGAAAATTCTTTATTGCCATGTTTTAAATATCTTAGATACACCGTATGGAGGTGCTCTTATTGCAGGAAGCTAATACAGATTAGATGAATAGGTGTTCCGAATGAACAATAATTTAGCTTCCGAATATTCCTCCATAGACTATATTTCTAACTAATAAATATGCGTGAACCCTCAGGGGTTCACGCAACAAAGTAAAATCTGCCTGATAGCTTATTTTAAAAGTTGTTAAAGCATATTATACTTTTTATTTCATTCATAACTTTCTTTGGGACACAAACTGTAACAAAATCCTATTTCTGAGTTATTAACACGTATTGCTGGAATAATTGTCATCAGGTACGCTCGAACCTTAAATTTAGAAATAAATTAGTAAAAATCATGATACGTTATCTACAGAGGTCTTGGTGATGTTATTAGTTGCTCTATAAATAGACCACTTTTGAGTTATGTCCTTCACCGGAAAATTCGTCAATTATGCGCGCCTTTATGGCGTCATTTACCAGATAGAGGGGATCGCCTGTATCCCTGCACTATTAAAGTTTATCTAGCGTCTTCGTGATCGTCATTATGCAGGATAAACTAGAAATAATGTTGTTTTTTCTCGTAGGTACTTAATCATAAGTCCCTTATGACAGCAGTGCTGATTATCAATTATAAAAAATTAATTTGTCGAATAATTCGTGCAATACAGCATTATGTTTTTTCAACCACTCACTCAACTTGGAAGGAAGTGACGATGCCCCTAAACGCGCGAGTGATGTTCACTAAAACCAAAGTTTTTGACGGAAATGCAACGAACTTGAAATTTGTCTTTTGTCTGCTTCTTTGTAGTAGGAATTATATAAAATCTTTTTTAGACTGTCTGGTTGATTAATTGTTGCTTGCTTAACATGACAATGAATGGTGGTAATCATGGGCGGCCTTCATTAATTTCAAAAGTAACAACTAGCAGTTATGTCGATTTTTTGTCAATTACTAGCTCTTAGTATTATCGTTATAATTGGATTTTTCTTTATAAATTATATAATATACAAGAACTACATGTCAGACCAAAGAGTGAAAATGCATGTGGTGTTTTGAATATCTAATCACTAATTTCTACAAAGACAACAATTTTCTTACATAACTAAATATAGGTGATATTTTATCATCTAATGGATATATATGAACAACTGAAATAGTAATAATTGTTTTTCAAGCTATAATTACAGGAACAAATAATCGTCAAAATAGTATAAATTCAAAATGGAAAAATCCTTATACGTTTTCCGTTATCCATCGTTATGGCAAACTTTTTAAACTTCAAGCTCAAGTTGAAATGAGCCGGATTAACAATATCACGTTGAATCAAAATTGATCTACGTTGAGTTGTTATATTTAGTTTATAAACCGTATTTGTGCTTTTTTCAAGCAATAATAGTTCGTCACCGGCAATATGCAGAACGCTACAACCTACCGTTAAATCAAGACTTGAATAACACTTTGATGTATTCCATCCTCTTTCATTTGAAATGTAGTGAATGTCATTGACACTATTGTCTGTGTAAAAAAACCTTTTCCAACCGTCAAAATCTAAATCAATAATGGAGTCTGGAAGCCTAAATTCAGATAAAATCGTACCATTGAATTCAATGGAAAATAACCATATACCAAGGTTAGCCTCCGCAAATAGAAATATGTTATCACCTTTGCAAGATATCCAATTTATTTTTATAACATGAAATAAATACTTTGGATGCTGCAGTGAAATCGTTCTGCACACTCTTTGAAGTTTCATATCAATTACCGTGATCGCATTATCTCTCATTTTTGACACCAGTAGGGCAAAGTTATCATACATGGAAATTGAACCCGCATTGAAGTTGATATCTTGGGTTGTTTCTGATAATTTTATCTGGCTAGACTTACAGGTATGCAAATCAAATATTCGAAGACAATGGATTCTTAGATTTCTTGAAATTTCAGAAGGAACACATGCCTCAACAACGATATGGCCGTCTTCAGTGAAACAAAAGGCACCTAATGTAGAGTTATTGCCGGCTTTGAGCTCCTGATACGGAGGAGGAGGACGCTGACTAGGTCTTTCAACGTTCATTTGTGATTGTTTGCATGCATTGTCCGAAACGGTGGTGACAGGGATAGTATTGGGTGTCGCTTTCTCGTTCATTTTTTCGAAAAGTTTATCGATGTTTTTCGTATCTTCAGGAGGCAAAACGTCCAATGGTATTGTTATCAAGTCTCTTTTTATCTGACTGATCTGATTTTCACTTGTGATTTGTATGGTATCAAGATACTTTACTGCATGGAATATATTGCTTTCAGAGGAACTACTTTCTAGCATACATAACCAGTCCTTATTTTCTTGCAGGCTTTGTTTTAAGTACTTCAACTGTTCGCTATTATCTGCATTTTGTACTACTATTTTTTCGTACTCTTGGTTGAGGTTGTTTTCAATTTGCATTAAGTGCTCTTTAAAGCACTTGAGAAATTCCTTTAAATGGTTATTTGCTACCTCTTTTTCTGTTCTTATTTTGGACAATTGCTGCTCATTTTCGATTTGTGTCTTTTCGAGAATATTTGTGAATTTCGTCATTCTTTCTTTCAGGTCAGTAATTGCAGCGCTGTCTTTTACGCCCTCTGCAGCCTTTCCTATTTCCACTATTTTATTGCATTTTCTATGGTTTTCCGATAAACATTCGTGACAAATTAATTCATCATGTCCTACACAAAACAGAATAAGTTTTTTATTCAGATGTGAACAACAGCTTTTAGGTATATTTTTTCTAAAAGAGGGAGCATCTTTTATCGAAATGACATCATGTGCAACCACAAATCGTCTGTGTGCTTTACCGCAACTTCGACAAACAACTTCACTACAATCATTACACCAAAGGGCCGCTACTTCTTCTTCATTTTCTCTAAGACAACATTGGCATAGCTCAAAACCAGCCATAACTGAAATGAAATCATCCTATTTTCCATTCATCATGCTTCTTATGAATTTTACAGTTTGTTGTACTATTAAACCAATGTACAATGTTGAGGGGCTGTTAAGGGTTTGCATAAATATTTTAAAAACCCTGCCATATTTTGAATGTGCCTGTCCCGAGTCAGAAGCATGAAATTCAGTGATTGTCGTTGGTTGCTGTATATCATATTTGTTTTTCGTTTTTTGTCTTGTACATAAATCATGCCGTTGTTTTTCTTGTTTGAATTGTTTTACATTTGGTCATGTAAGGGCTTTTTATAGCTTACTATAAGATACGGGTTTTGCTCATTGTAACAACAAACAACACAACTTTATTTGATCACTCAGACACATAACATACGTGTAACAAGAGGAATACAATATTTACTTGTATACAAAAATATGTAAACAATACAAAACAATGGTGGGTATGAAAAATAAAAAAAAGAATACATTATTATACAATCAATTCAAAAAATGTTTATATGTTGAAGGCTCTAGGAGGACCTTTTTGTCTCATCAATTCTACCACATATTCTTATTTTGATATTTTTAAACTAATAGTTAAGGACTATTCGTTGGTTCATGTATTCTAGTATGCAATAAAAAGACATACATGATGATAACTTACCATTAAAAAGTATGCATTTAATAGGCACATAAAGAACTAATACCAGTCTAAAAATTTGGAATTCTGTCTTAAACACGTTTAAACTGTAAACTTTAAGATTATCCAGTATTGAATTTCCATAAAAAAAGATATCTTGTATCCGCCAATGACACAGTAATACCAAAGAAAAAAAAACAGGCATTTTCAACGGTTCGAAGACATTTAGTAGTATTTTAATTTCAGAGGCAAATAATGAATACTTAATATGTTAGAAAAACTTAAATACTGAAAGAGATATAATTCACTTTGAAACATTTTATTTCGTTGACTTTAAAAGTTGTTACCATGGCAGCAGTTCTAGTCATGCTTTGAAACAAGTTCTATGTGAAGAAATTCTGTTTTTTTAGCGGTATATAATCATAATTTACTATATATTTCATAGTATGTCCAAGACACGTGAGGATTATAATGTTCATATAGATACGACTAGAGTAATACCGTATTAGTAAAAGGTCTTGTATAAATTTTGTATAACTTACTTCTTAAAACGTATTTCTCATTTATGACTAACACCTAATGTTACCAACCACCAGAAGATTGTTTTTCATGACCGACACGATGACTATTGACTCCATTTCCACCCCTATTGGGTTTACATTGCTTTTGCTAATATTTTGTGTGTTAGATGTGTAACATGTTTTGATTTTCAGTGTCTATATATAATGTACTGTGTAATGTACAGTTCAAATTTTCGAATTTGGTTATGTTTCAGTCGAAAGTACCGATTTTATTTGAAATGTTGTTATGTCTTTTCTTTTAAAAGACAATAACATTAACACTTAAAAGAGGGACGAAAGATACCAGAGGGACAGTCAAACTCATAGATCGAAAACAAACTGACAACGCCATGGCGTTAATTTTGGTGCGACGGAAGCGTAATCTGGATATTCATCTACCATTTTTACCAGACGCTGTGGTATGGAATAAGGCTTGTGGACAAGTTTGTAAGGTTAGCACTCTTTATTCACATTTATTTTTTCATACGACAGCTATGATTTTGTACCTTATAATCGCTATAACGTGCACAAAATGTCTAACAAGATGAGTGTGGCTGGAATGGAATGTCTTAATTTTAAGCATATATTTTTTTTCAGAATCATGGTAAATAATGAATAGATCTATTTGACGTTGTAAAACTTATTGCAGAAAAACCCTAAATTTTAATTGTAGATTCCATAGATCGATAAGATTTTTGAAGGATCGAATACATTGGATGATGAAATCAGTATTGTCAAGGTACGGCAAGCACACCATAGCTTGAAAATGAATGAGGCATTAGGCGTTTACAAAGTTATAAACAAACTTGTAAGCAATAGCAAAGCGTTACCTGTGTTTTCATATGAGTTTTTTTTAAGATCTGGACGTTAAAGGTGTTATATGTCATATCCCAAAGTCTTCAACGTGTATTTCTCGTGATCTGAACTGATTTGGAAAACTTTGGTTTTTTAAGGTATTAACTCTATTGTCGTACTTTGAAAAATATAACATGCCGAACATAACATTTCATGTAACATAGAGATTGCTTTTGCGGGAAGAATGGAGCACTATTGACTAAATAATCTTCCTTAATATGCATTGGAAGACCAGACAATGCAAGCATTGCCCCCAATCGCGCATTTGCATTCGGCTTTGAGAGTTCCTGATGAAGGTAAATCCAGAAAAGCGCTTCGGACGCATGACATTTATAACGTATTGTTTTAATTTTTTTCAGACTTCCGCAGAGTATACTATTTTATTGTTCGTTACGTTTTATTTTTGGATTTGAAGGTGTTGGTACTAAAAAACAATCTTAAGCGTTAACAAACTTTGTTTTCCCATAAATAAGTTTTGAATACTGCACGCGAATAAATTGCCCTAAGACGGACGGTTTAACAAGACAGCTTAATTCGAATTGTTCCCTGTGCTCTTTCATATTTACATGCTATATATTTCTATCCTCTTAATTTGAAATTTGATTTTTTGCTGAGAAAAAGTTTAGGTCATGTTGTATGCTGACGACATAGTGATATTAAAAATGTCCTAACATGAACTGCAAACTTTATTGGATTCATTGAAATTATAGTGCGGCAACAATGAAATGCCAGTGAATAAAAACAAGCCAAATTTCATATATTTCGCCGGATCCTGATCTTATCTTGGACTCTTGGTGACGGACCATATGAATTATCTGATGATGGGAAACATGTTGCAGCTATCATCAATCTAGTTTCAGGACAGTTAATCTCGTCAAATAAAGCGATTGTTTTCTTTCGTTTTGTAATTTTCCAAAACTATATTTCAACGGTTTGAGCTACAGTATAGGGAGATATAGAATATATGTTTTAACTCAGGACAGAACAAGGCTTATCGATTTTTTCAATGGTTGTGGGTCAATACACTCAAAACAGAGCGACAGAGGTTGATGTCCGGATGGATACCAGTAAATATGAAACAATGGAACAGTGGATATAACAAGTTGTGCAGACTAATATTTTTGACCACGCTCAAAAAAATTCAAGTGGCCAGAAGCTTGTAGCATGAACGTATGAAGATGTAAAAACTGGTAGTATAGAATTCGACAGAAAATTTAATAGACAGTTATAATGAACATTAAGGGCGCAGACACTGTGGACAAACTTTGGTTAAAAATTGTTTTCATGAAAAACTTTTATTAAACTTTTTTTTTAGGAAAATTGAAATGTTGAAAAAAATAACGGACCTACAGATCTTTTATAGGTTCAAAGCCGTAAAAAAAATATCGGCTTGATATAGTCCAATAACAGCACATATGATTGTTTAATAATATTGTATTGAATAATATTTTACGTTGATCTTGACAATAAACTGCCAGTCATAACTTTATTGTGTAAACTGAACGCAAAATATGGTTGTAGATTTGTTACCTGCATGCAGATCTATATACGTTCTGTTGTGCAGTTCGAGCAACACTACGGGTGGCACATGTGGGGCCGGATCTGCTTACCCTTCCGGAGCACCCCTGGTTTTTGGTGGGTTTCGTGTTGCTCAGTCTTTAGTATTCTATGTTGTATTTTGGGTACAGTTGTATGTCTTTTATTCAATTTCACTTTTTTTTTTGCCATGTCATTGCCAGTTTATTTTCGACTTATTCGTTTGAATGTCACTTTGGTATCTGTCGCCTGAGCCCTCTCTTTGACTGGGTTAATTTTCTTTACTCCGAAATATAGTAATGGTCTACTTACCTATCTCGCGAAATACTTTCTTTTTTTATTCCTTTTCTAAATCCATATCAAGTTTACCATCTCCATGTTTTCATAATTTGTTTTATTTCATTGTCAAGTATATACTTAACACCACAACAATGACTATAATATTTCACACGAAAAAATATTTTATTGATGTATAGACTATACATTTATATCTGACAATTAGAATATATTGTTTCGTTTCATCTGATTTAAGATAATTATGTACTTAATACTTTGTATGAACAGTATAAGAATAGTAAAGGGTTTTTCTATTCAAGATCCCGGTACATGCAGATCTTCGAACCAAAGTTAAATGACATTCATACAAAATTGTTACTTCGAGACAATGTATATCATACACTACATTTACTGACCCAAACTAACCTGTTTTAATGTTTTTAAAATAGCTTCTAATGCCAACATAGACCGAATTTGGTTTTAAAACATCAACAAATGTGAAGTTTTTTTTTTCAATCGGCTAATCAATACAATAATATATGAACCAGTTTGATTCATCTGAAAAAGCATAGAAATAAAAAAAAATCGTGAACATGCGTAAAATATATTCCAACACCTCTCGAGGATTTCAACCTAAATGATAAGAAAACTCATTAATTTAACTCTCTGAACCCTCTATGGAATGTATTGTATTAAAGCGTTTATAAAGAAGTAGCTTTGAAAATTAGTTGGAAAAAAAACAACTGGAAACCTATACCCACCCTATCATTACCGCATTCACAAATATGATGTTAAGTTTTTATAATGTTATATGTGATAAGTCAGGATGAGAAAACGAAAGGTGAAAAAGAACATGGTTTCCGATAAATGCATCATTCTGCTTTGAATAAAACATTATTTCTATATTGTTGTCCGTGGTCGTATATTTGTTGTAATGTGTGGTTTAATATTTAAAGAAATCTGAAATTGCTTTCCTGTTTGAAACCATCGTGATATCATAAACATTTTTTGTAGACAATATTTTTCTTTATATTGGGGAAATCTATTGTGATATCGTTATAAATAAATAAATATAAGTTCTTAAAATAATACTTCCAGTCATAATTTAAAATAACTCTTGAAAACTGGATTTCGAATTAAAAGTATAAAGCCTTTTAACGATTAAAAAATAAAAAAAATATGGTCGCATGGCATGCATACACACCGCGTACATAAAAAAACTCATATTACCATACCAATGATAATTTATGTCAACACATAAGTGACAAAGATATTCCTGATTTTTTACTCATAAGTTTTGTCACCACAAAACATTTTGATGTTTAAACAAATAGGGATGTCAACGAGTACTCGAATACTCGAGTATCGCTCGTTATACATAGTACCGAGCATCGCATACCAAAATGATACTTGAATATTCGGTTTCCTGTTAGGACATTGTACCCTTCTTTCCATAAAATTGATTTTCTAATGAATGCCCCTGATTGGCTATAGTAGTCACTGATTAATTATACTTAAAATACGTTTCGTATTTTTTGGTAAATTGTTGTATAAAACCTCTCAAATACTCCATATGGAAATAGTCACGATAACACTAATATGAACGAAGAGATAAAGAACGTTACGCGATTTTGCACACGATAGCGTCAGCGTATGCATGCTGTAAAGCTGTTTTAGAATACCAACTCGGAAAAACAGTCTCAACTTTCCCTGCTCTTAACGAAAAGATATAACTAAAAAAATGTTTGATGTCTTTGGATAGCATAACTTTGGATTTCCTCACGGTCATCTCACTTATAATTCGGAATGCTACAGTGATATTATAGTTTTCTTTTCAAGACCTGCAACCCCCAGGGGTGACTGGGAATAGAAATATGGTCACCATTGGTCTTCCTCCGACCGGCGGTAAAACCCTCGCTAAAGTGGGGCGTCCGTTTGGCTGTGCGGGATGTACAAGTTCGCAGTCACGTCCGGTCAGAATGGGGACGTTAAATCCGATGCCTCGTGTAAAGAGAGTGTAACGTTCTTTGCACGTTAAGAACCCTTGCATCAACTCTTTGAGTGGTCCGTAGGTGGCCTGTTGGAAGGCTAAATTTCTGTCCTTATCCAATTTACCCTCATTTTCCCGTGGCAGTCCAAATTTCCCCGACCTTATCCCGGACGGCCTCTATTACAGGACCTACCTATTGTATTTATTGTTAATTTGTTCTCGTCCTGAATATGCATGAAATATTTGCCACTGGACGTTAAGCAACCAACAATCAATCAATCAATCAAGACCTGCATTTACCTCTGTAAGCAAATTTGTATATTATTTTTCTATAGGGTGATTGGTGCCTATTACTTGAGCACGATATGATATAAGATATGATCTGTTTAATAGATTTGATAATGTAAACATTTGCAAAACAAGTCAAAGATAGATTTAGTGGGTCAGCATATTCGTCAAGTATAAGCAACATAAATAGATGAACATAATTTTTTTTTATCTATTGTCAACGGATACGTTTGATTTGTTGGGAAAATAAAACTGTTTCCTTTTCTCTTGTTTGTCATAATGAAAACCATTCGAGCTATTTTAGAAGCAGGAGTTGCTTAAACTTCTGGATAATCTTGGCTCATCTCTAGTTTTTGGCTTGATTATTGTTGCTCAATATTCAAATTTACAGCGTTTTATCTATCATTTTCGACACATAATGTTATATATTTTATAACATTTGATTATTTTCAAGTTTCATTTATTTGAAATCTACCGTATGTCACGTCACAATGAATGGAGAATCTATTATGTTCAAGGTCCATATAATCCAATGCATTAACTTTGTATATCTAGAAATACCCAGCTTACAAAAATATTAAACAAAAAAATATAATGCCCGACTCTAAATCGTTGCATTATCAAAATAAAATGATCAGATCATGGTATTGTTATGCCTTTGTTAACATCAAATGAGGACTAATGTAAGCTTTAAATAGTCATTAAATCTGCTTGTGAGACCTTGGCATGTTTAACACGATGAATGAGAGTTCAGTTGTTTAAAGTATTTTTTAAAGTTATACCCAAATTAACAGGCAATATATAACAAGAGGACACTCAAAACTAAAAAGTCGAAGAGAAATTGACAACGCCATGACAAAAATAATCGAAAAGACGACGAAAAGACAAATAAGTCTACAAAACACTACATAGAAAACTGAAGATTCAGTAACACGAACTCCTCCAAAAATGGGGGTGATCTCAGGTGCTCTGGAATGGAAGACATATCCTACTCAACCAAATCATACATACTATAACTAGTATATAAAAGATCCAGCAAGATAAGACATACTTAAATACTGGCAGATAATAACTTTTCACAATTTTATAATCTAAATGTATTAAATATGATAATATAGAGCATTTTGATAGGATTGATATTACAACATAGCTATAGGAATTATAATGTATTAGATAATCGAAATTGGGAATGCACTAAAGAGACAACAATCCGACCAAAGAGCAGAAACAGCCCAGTACTGCATGGAATATATTGCTTTCTGAAGAATTATCTTCTAACATACATAACCAGTCCATATTTTCTTGTAGATTTTTCCTCAAGTAAATGAACTGTTCTGCATTTTCTTTACTTTGTTTTTCTATTTTTTCGTATTTTGTGTTCAGATTATTTTCAATTTGTAGTAAATGATATCTGAAGTGCTGGAGAAATTCATTTATATGGTCAACAGCGTTTTCTTTTTCCGTGCTGATTTTAGACAATTGCTGCTCGTTTTCGATTTGTGTCTTTTCGAGAATATTTGTCAATTTCTTCATTCTATCCTTCAGGTCAGTAATTGCAGCACTGTCTTTGACGCCTACTGCAGCATTTTCTATTTCCAATATAATTTTGCATTTTCTATGATATTCTGTTAAACATTCATGACAAATTAACTTATCATGTCCAACGCAAAACAGAATAATTTTTTTATTCTCATGTGAAATACAATTTTTGGGTATATTTTTTTCTACAAGCGGGAGCGTATTTTATCGATATGACATCATGGGCACTAGCAAATTTTCTGTGAACTTTACCGCAACTTTGACAAACAGATTCACTACAGTCATTACACCATAGATCTGCAACCACTTCTTCATTATCTCTATAACAACCCTGGCATAGCTCATCACCATCCATGACTGAAAAATAATCATTGTATCGTGTTTTTTAACACATAGCTTAAGATTTGTTTGTGGTTCATTTACGCAATTTGAGCTGCCTGATCCCCCCAACTGTTATCACGTTAACCAATTATTACTTTTGAGATGCTCACACAATTTTGTCAATATGACGGAACTATAAACAACTATCATACAAGTGGGAAGTTTAGCTAGCTATAAAACCAGGTTTAGCCCACCATTTGTTTTTTGGAAAATGCCTATGTTTCTTTTTTTATTATTCTTTTTATTTGAGAGTCACTTATGAGCCTTTTGTAGACGTCTGTCAAACGCAATTTTAATCCTGGTATCTATGATGAGTTTATTAGTTGCTATAGTCGAGCATTTGGATTTGTCAGGTTTTATGGACTTTCCCTTTTTTTATTTACCTTGAAGTTTGTTACTTTTGATCAGACCTTTTTATTCGGATATAAAATAGGTAATATGATTAGTGCTCATAAAGGTATGTATTTTAAGTTAATAAAAGAACTTAAATCCCATTCTTAATTTCTAAAACTCTGTCATACACATGAAGTACCATACAACATTAAAATAAATGAATAATAAAGCTAATAAAGCGCTTTCCTGGATATACCTTTATTGGGATCGTTCAAACCCGGAAATTTGAAAGCAAAGGATTTGTAGATGCTTGAAACTTTATTGAGAATGGAAATCAATTGAAGAATTTCTTTATTTCTTTTCTTAATATACGTTTGCCTCTTGTTGAAATCATTTTTTTCAACATTAGTTGTTCGGCAATTATAGGATTGAACCTAAAGGCGATGTTAAGTATACGTCAACCAAACGACATACAAAATCAAAAGCCAGGCATCAAACACTGATCATAAGAAAAACGGTCAGTTTACAAAGTGATTATCTCCTCAAATGAACGCTTAATCCTTTTTTAATTACAAACCAAGGATATGATTATTTGTTAATATTAAAAATTGTCATTCGTACGCTACTTAAACTATATGGTGTAGTAACATGGTTTTCATCTGCGACGAATTCTATGCAACTGGCATACAAGTGAGAGGTCAAGCTATCTATACAACCGGGTTTATTCTACCATTGTCTACATAAGGAAATACCTGTGCCAAGTCAGGAATTCGACAGTTATTTTCCATTCGTTTGATGTGTTTAAGCTTTTGATTTTGCTATTTGATAAAGGTTTAGAATTTTCCTTGGAGTTCGGTATTTAACTATTTTCAAAACTTTTAACGCGATTAAAATTGCATCTGTACGAAAAAATGCTCAATGCCAAATAATCTTAATTTTTTGGACAAATGCATTAAATTCCCTTTACTATGGTCTGTTTTTATTTTGCATCGCAGTCGAAATTCAAGACATATTGAAATTCTTACATATCGGTTCTGGTTAGTTGCCTTATAATGGGGTTAAGGTTCTGTTGAGTAGAATGAGATATATCATTTGGAACCTGTTCCGGACAGTAGAAGATATCAAGTATAGATTATAAGGAATAAAATTAGAGTATTGATATTCAAGACGCAATCAGAAATTATTACATCATATTTGATTTTGGTTGCATATTGTTGGACGAGTGCTGAAATGTTTATTATCTTCACGTATTCCCTTTGCTTTTTATTGATCTGCATTATACATGATTTGTTGTGTATGTATTATATTTATAATTTACCACCAGTCTTAGTAGTTATATACGAAACGATAAATAGCTCTGTTCACTGATGCGTTAAGTCATTTGTGATGGATAAATAATTATTAGGTATGTATTTGTTATTTTTTAACTATCATCTTATACAATATAAAATATTGGTCATAAACCTAATTGCAAAAAGAACAACACAATACGCAAGTAAATAACGTCACCAATGTGTATGTAACCGTAAAAAAACGGTAACTATAAAGCATCAATTTATGTTTATCCTCAAATTTACCCTTCTACTATATAAATACAGTTTGACATAAAGCGATAAACGTAGACTAAACATTTATAGTCGGCTGGTATCCTGCTTCTGTAGTGAGCGATAAGTTATATTCAAATTACTGTTTACGTCCCAGTTCAACGGTGCGCGTTTAAGTCTTGTTTATTTCGCTAAAAAAACCCAAAAAAACCGATACCTTTAAAGAGGCATAAGCTTCGAGATATGAAAAAAAAAGAATATGATTTAGTTTGGTTCAATCATTAATAAAAGTGAAATAATAATTCGCTTTTAGTAGCCAATTTGGTTCAATTTTATCAAAATAAGCAAAGAAACATCGCTGATGAATTATTTAGTTGCAAGTGAATAATTCGACCTCATTGAATCCGTATGCATATGACCTTCAATTTAGTCCATTAGCTAGAGATTGGCTACGCATGTTTTAGTCGTGTTCAGATATTAAAAGGAAAAGAATGTCAACATTGAAAGTGAAACAAAAATGAACCATTTCGTTGACTGGTTCGATCCACAACAAATCATTCTTATACAAGTAAAAACGATAATTAACTTAATTTTTAACCTATAACATGAAATCAAACAGACATAGAAAAATCCAATTGCACAACGTCGCTATCTATTTATATTAATGTTTATGTTTATATCGGGTTTTGTGACCGTCGGCAGTCTTCGGAGGTCATCTCGATAGTTAATTAGATGGCGTCTAGACTAAAATAAACACGAAATTCTGATATATATTATCGAGCACATGCATTGTTAACTGTTTATTTCAGACTTATTGTAATTTGGATATACGTTTTAGTATTTTATAAATCAAATATGAGAATTTGAGTCAAATCGGTGAACATGATTTTGACAGCTAATGCTCTTTTAAACGAAAATGTTAAATGACATGTAGGATATTGCCTTTTAATGATCGGGCGGTCAAAGTCCTATAACTCTGGAATGGCAACTCAGAAACTTTAAAAATCGAACGGTATCTTACTGTCACTAATTCCAAAACAGTAAATCAAGTAAAGCATACTCAATTTATGGTACATGAAAAACATTTACATCAATCTGACAGAGCCTACCCAGAAAATTGTCAAATGCGAAAGGGGCTTTTAATTTATCAATCCCAACAAAAGTGTTTGGCTTTTACAAAATATATTGGAGTTAATGTGGGATAGATGAGGAAATGCCTAAAATCTGTCGATTAAGTTCCGTATAGAGCTAAAATTTGTCATCAATTATTGTTGCATCGGTGACCAGACGCCATATATTTTGCTGAAGACACAATGCAAGGCTGTGTATGGATACGATAGTTTTCAACATGAAATGACCAATCAGATGACAGTATTTAGGATAATTAATTCCAGTAAAGAATAATACAATGTGTCAGCGTCTCATATTGTTTCACTTTCCCATACCAGATCGGTTTGTATAATTCAGCGATGCATTTGGTCATTATGTAGATAAGGATATTTTCGCCCTTCTGAAACTTGATTGAGGTAAAACACATATTCTGTTTTATTGTTGCATGACCTTTTTACTTACGGTTTCGGTGTTAAATTGTTTTGATTATGTCCATGCCTATTGGCTTTGGTAAGCCCCGACCTCCTGAATTGTAATTTTGCCAAATTTTAATACTTTGTACGTTTTTGAACACATTAAACAGGTGTCAATATTTTGGCAAGTTTCCAATATAAGCTATAGGTTTTATATTTATTAAACGACTTTTATTGTACATGAATGAACTTATCAAAGAATGTAAGATTAAAAATCTACTAATTGCATTGTCATCATTGTTATACTACAATAATTCAATATTCTAATATCCTAAATTGGTACCTTTGAAGGTCTATGTATACGAACTATATTAAACGTATGATAAAAAATAATGGCCATGACTAAGGGAGTTTAAATCTAAGTTTCTTTATAATTTCAAAAAAATGTCGACAATTAATTAAAAATAGCATATTGATAATCATGGAGTATGTAGCCACTGACTACTGAGCTGACGATAACTGTCCACCAGAAGCGATATCAAACAGTGCTAGACAATAAGAATAGCACTATTCAAATGGTACGTTTGAAGGGCTTTTTATGCTCCCAAACATTTGAAAGAAGAACATACAAGTACATAACTTCTTGTGCAATACAAATAATGTTATATATTTTGTTTTTCTCTAATTCTTCGTCAATTTATCCCTTCCTGCACCATTGTATAAAAAAAATTTAATCAGCGTGTGGTTCGTTCGATCTCAGTTCTTCATTGGTTAAAATCCAATTATGACGTCGAATTTACTTGCTTTCCTCTGAATTTCCTATTGTGACGGCATGAAAATAGGCGACCATGTCTGATGACGTCACATAGAAAGAACACATCTTTTTACAGATCATTCGAATAGACGGAATAAGTTTGCCTGCATATTGTTTGAAAATCATTAGAGAAAAAGATTCCACCACCAAATCTCGTGTAATACGATATTTATCCACTCTCGACAGTTAAATTTTAAATATTTAAAACGCTCGGCGAGCCTCGCGTTTTAAATTTGAAAATTTAACTGTCTCGAGTGGATAAATATCGTATTACACTCGATGCAGTGGTAGAATCTATATATAATTGATATTATGTTAAATGTATTTCTAGTCTTTGGATTCTGGAAGGTGGCAATACTTTTGACTTATGTTAAAACAGACTTAATGTCAGAGATGCTGAAAATAATATGTTTTGTGA